TCGAAAATTTTGAAGTAGTAAAAAGACTAGTATATTTTTATAAAATAAACAAATATTCTGATTACTCAGTCATACCATTATTCTCATTCTTCTTCTATTTTCTTTCTGTCCATTCTTTCCCACTTACACAACTCGTGCTTTGAGTTCCTGGCATCACGATATATCTTTGGTGCTGGATGAGCAATTAAAGTTTTGTAGGCAGATTCAGAAAATGATGAGGAGTAAAATGATTAAGATGTCAGAGAAGCAAACTATACAAGATCACAAACGTAGACTGCTCGTGACTTCTCCATCCAATATAATAGAAATAGAAAATAAGAAGAATTGATTTAGTCATCAGTTCTACACATGTTTCTTATTGATCAAACTTCAGCTTTTGCTGAAGGCACATAACCACCAGTTTTATTTTGAAACAATCAAATTAGTGAAGTTACTATAGTATTTTAAGATAGAGAAAGAGGTTGACCTGAACTCTCGTGAATGGGCAATCTTAAAATGATTCGAGTCTTTGTGGTTTAAATATGTAAATGGTTCTTGATAGTGAAGATTGGAAATCGTTGAATATTGAAGCTTCCATGCACTTGCACCCACAGTATACGACTTCAAAATGGAGAATACATTAGTCTTTTCTGACTGTTGGCTTGCATTTATAAGATGTGTAAGCGCTGGCCTGTCTGGCTTTAAAAATCATTGTAGCTTTGAACAGCGAACCAAAAAACCTTAGTTTTGATGTGTTAACATTACACAATATGAACACTCACCTCATTGCGGTATATGGTTACTCCAGTAATCTATTTTATTTTTATTTTTTAAATGCAGTTGGATAAAACTGATGCTGCATCTCTTAACACCAAATTGGGTGCAGCAAAGGTAAAGATCCTTTACTGTGTTTTCTGAGGGTAGCATTGTCTCACTGATCCCATCTTCTATTTCCTCCATCCCAAATATAATAAATCTCATTATGCAAATCCATATTCTTGTATGCTGTTTTGATTTTTAACTTTCATATATATTCCATATTTCCTGGCGGACAAATGATTTTATTTTTCTTTATTGTCTTAACCTTTGAACTTGCCTTTATTGCAAGTTTCTGTTGGATTACTTTAAACGCAGTTTCACTTTTCTGAACTGAACTTTAATATCGTGACATTCAGAAATGGAAAGTAGGATGCTAACTCTGGATGCAGTAATATTTATTTCATATTTGAAGCACACAAATATATGTATTATTCTTATCTGTTGGATCATGCAACTTTACTCAATAGTCAGGTGAAGTGCATAGACCTAGAACACCAGGTTGAACACATTGGAAGTGCATATTTATGAAGTTGATGTCCCTTGCTGTCTGGCATGTCTCATGGAGAATTCTTCTAGAAGTTGTTCCTTCCCTAGACCGTTGATCAAATGCCTTGGAAATACCTTCTTAATGAAATTCATTTACTTAATGTTATCTGTATTTCTAAACTACTGCATAGTATACTGGGTTGATCCAGAATATCTTGAAAGAAAATGCCCGACTGATATGCTGACATAAACTAAGTTGAAGGTTTCAGAAAAAACATAATATGTGGCTCAAAATAGATGTAATTGGGACCATGGGGAAGAGTTATTAACTTAGGTTTTAATTGGGTTATCCCAATATGAAGCCGTGACTAATGAGAAAAGTTTGCGCAGTTGATACCTTGAACTTGACCTGGAGTAAATGTGTGTGTACTAATGGAATTGGTTGGCATGCATGTTTGCTATCCAGCTATTTGTTTTAATTAGATTATTGTATTTTGTTTTAAAGGTCCCTGCTGTCATTTTTTTTGGGTTGCTAATTTTAAAATATCTGTTGCAGCCTATATTAAGCCACTGAAGTTGATTCTTTCTTCTGAATGTGTTTACAGGAAAATTTAGAACGAAATCCTGGCCAAAATTCTTTTTCCTTCCGGAAAGAGTTCAAGATAATTAGCAACTCAGCACCTCTCCTTCCTGAGAAGAAACTCGATCCAGCTGGGCGGCTGTCGCAGTTGCGGCCTTCACCATCAAGCAAGTTCACATCATATATGCTACCCACGCCAGTGGAGACGAAGGACCCAGGTACTTGGAAATCAGATGCTGAACCTCCTCAAACAAGACAAGCGAGAGTGAACTTGTGGCATTCGTCCCCTTTGGCGCATAACAAATATGAAAAGCTTGTGGCAAATGAAAAATTGTCCGGGCCTATGATTGTAGGTTCACAATCGGTGCTCACAGGAAGCAACATCAATACAAGAGGCAGTCAATTGCCCCCTCCATTCTCTGATGGCCGCTCATCAAAACAGTTTGATCCAAGTGTTGCATCTAATACTAAGGAAGTCAAAAGGCAAGCCTTTTCTGGTCCATTAACAGGCCGGCCATGGCCAAACTACCCAAATTTCTCGTCTACTGGTCCAATTATGTCATCAGGATATCCTCCATTTTCAGGGTCCCTGTTGCGCCCTCCATTACCTCGGCCCCCATCAACTCCCAATTTTTCTTCATGTGTTTCACCTTCTTTTGTTTCATCACCTAAAATAAGTGAACTTCACGAGCTTCCTCTGCCCCCGATTCATTAGCATCTAAGAGACCATCCAATCGCGCTGCTCATCAGGTCCCTTGGTATCTAAAGGTAATGAGCTATCTGTTTCAAACATATCGATGATGCCCATAGCAGTCTACGCCTTCAATGCCCCAAACAATTTCTCGCTGTTATTGTATTCCTTCTGGAGGTCAAATAGAAGTGGCACTGCATGTTCCTTTAGAAGCTTCTCAAACTCTAAAGATGGCTGATGAGATTTCTACACCAACTTCCATACTAAATAACCGACCACCATCCTCTACATCCAGTAGACATCTTGGTCTGTTACATGAGAAGTAACTTTACAAATCGTTGTCTAAATGATGTCCATTAATCTTCTTTTTCATTTTTAAGATTATAAATTGCAATTTGGTTAAGAAGATTGTTTAGAAGCTGGGTAAGGGCTTCGTAGGTTGTCCAGTGTTTGGATTTGATCCTAAATTGTGCATGGGTTGGGTTGGCTTTGAAGCTGTGTTGCCATTTTTGATATTTAGGTGTACTTTTTAAAACTCAAAACGAACATATAGTAGTTGTAATTTATAGAGTAGATAATTCTTGCAATCGTGATTAGCCAAATAGTTTGTTGTTGCATTGCTTTCACGACAAATGTGAGATGCGATATCTGTCTTCATTCATAGTACTTCAAAATCTAAATCTAAGCATTTGCACTGTAAAAAGTCTAAATGATTTTGGTCTAAATTTGCCAAATACAACAATGAGCAAGTTTTTCTACTTTTATACATAATCAGCCTAGGTTGGACAATGATTTATTCGTCTTGTCAAAAAAAAAAAACATGTAATCCCTTTTTTATATGAAACTACCACAAACAAATAAGTCCCTTTTAAAAATAAAATGTAGAAATGAAATGAAATGCAAATTTGGAGGAATGTAGGATTTAATCTACAGCAAATAAAAGGCAAACAACTTCATGTTACATTTCGAACAATTGAGAACCACAATCCTGTACATTTAATCATATGATAATACGAATAATTTTATAATTGGATTAGTATGTTATTGATTCTTTTTGTTGAAAAAATGGCTACGACTTGGAGACATCCAAATACCGTTACTGATTTCTATTTTCAACAACTCAAATCAGATTTTAGATGTTACATTGCACATTTTAATATTGCATTCATGCACCTACACACACACAAAAAAGAAGAAGAAGAAGAAGGAAGATAAAATTATTATTTTCTTACTTTTAAAATCTCTTATTTTGAGTTGAACTTAATCGAATAGTTGTAGCGCAAGCCGTGCTACTCCTTAGCTTCCCAAAGTTGTTTTTCTCTACGCATTGGAACCTAGAAAACAATAGTTTGGGTTGGGAATACAAGAAACGAACGTAGAGAAGGTCACAAAATGTAGAAGAAAAATAATATCATATTAATTTTTTTTTTTGGTATAATCTACAATGGGACAAATTCATAATTCAGGTGTATGGTTTACACCAATTCAAAAGTCAGGTAGATAGTTTAATAATTCAAAACTCACGCATTAGGTAATTAATTAAAAA